ACTTTCCTTTTCCCCTTCTGTGAGTTCATTTGGACGTGGATGTTGAGCTCGATTGTTTATGGTGGTTCGTGCAGACCTCAACACCTTGGATCCGCCTGTGATGGAAGGTGTCGATGAGCTACTAGCTGTAAGTCTGAAATCTTCAGATTCTTTGTCATTCAAATGAATTTGCCCCTTTGAACACGATACATTATTGCGAAGTTATGCTGGATTTTTCTTCAGAGATCCAAGGCTGTTGTGAAGAGAGTTCACCCAGATGGCAATGGTAACCAATATGTTTAACCCTAGTTATAATCATGTGGCTGTGCACAAAAAAAAGTTATAATCATGTGGCTGAATCATCTTTGACCTATATGGCTATATCTGCTCTTCAGGCACCCTTCAGGTCCAAGCACCTTCCATATATCACTGGTTTGGTTCAAAAGCAGCACAGAAGGTATTAGATTAACTTGTTGAATTTGAAATCTCGTTCAAGATCTGTGGCTGGTGCTTTCAATATGCTTTTCATTACAGCACAAACTATTTTGCCTGATATGTCGAGCATTGTGGTTTAGCATCATGTCGGGGAGGGCATGAGCTTTATTGAAAAGATTTAAGCCATCCCCATTGTAATCAAACTATTCTCTCTTAATACAAAAACGCGCAAATCTTTTGCGTGATCGAGAAAAAAAAAGCAATTGGCTGATTTTGCGTTTTATCTGGCATTCTGCAGGTACAGATGCCTCTGACTGCTGTTACCTCTGTAATTGATGGCTTGAAAAGACTATATGTCGAAAAACTGAAGCCATTGGAAGTCGCCTACAGATACAATGATTTTGCTTCCCCATTATTGGTAAATAATTCCATTCACAGTTTTGTTTTGTTTGAAGTATCGGTCTTATTGTTCTGAAGTTCTTTGATGCTCATTGTGCTCTTCTGTCATTATTTACATGTCACTCCATTGCTTCTATCATTTTCCAGACAAACAGTGATTTTGATGCAAAGCCAATGGTTATGCTCTTGGGTCAGTATTCAACAGGGAAAACAACATTCATTAAGCATCTGCTGAAGACAAGCTACCCAGGTTTGATGCTTCATCTTATAAAACAGATTTGATTATCAGCCTTAATGGCCATTTTGTTTTCAATTGCCTCTGATTGCATTAAAATTTGACTTTTTGTCCGATTCAATTTCAGGATCTCACGTCGGACCAAAGCCAACCACTGATAGATTCGTAGTTGTCATGGTAACTGTTGGCATGAATACTGTATTTGCATACAAAATGGATATGGGATCTGACTGATGGTCAATACTGTAGCATGTGTCCTGAGAATGTTTTCCTTATATATATTGGCTAAACCAATGTAGTTGGTCCTTGCTATTATGATATCATTGCAACAACTTCTATTGTCCCTATGCACTATGGTAGCCATTATCATGAACTGGTGATTGCTGAAAATAAACTCTAATATTGAAAAAAATAGAATCATTGTTGTGTTATTTTTTCAACACTTTAAAGCTTCCTTTAAACCATACTGCATGCCCATGGGATATTTCTTCATTCATTTCAGTTGTTCAAAACAAAACTTTGTTGCTGGCCTTTTACAAATCTTATCAGTTTGCATTACCTGCTGGCTGGCCCTGTCAGTGTATACCTTCTTTTTTTTTTCTAATTGTCCCTCAATTTGATTTTGTTTTCACTTCAGTCAGGATTTGATGGAAGGACCATTCCTGGCAATACTATTGCTGTTCAAGCCGACATGCCATTCACTGGTCTTACAACATTTGGGGGAGCATTTCTGTCAAAGTTTGAGTGCTCTCAGATGCCACATCCGGTAAGCTTTAGTTTGATACCAGTACATGTAGAGTGCATTCATTTAGAAACTGAAACCTCCTTTGTTTCTTGAAGTTGCTAGAGCATATCACCTTTGTGGACACTCCTGGTGTTCTCTCTGGGGAAAAGCAACGGACCCAACGTAGCTATGATTTCACTGGTGTAACCTCATGGTTTGCTGCTAAGTGTGACCTTATTCTTCTTCTGTTTGACCCTCACAAGCTTGATATAAGTGATGAGTTCAAACGTGTCATTTCATCCTTACGTGGTCATGATGACAAAATACGCGTAGTGTTGAACAAGGCTGACCAAGTTGACACACAGCAGGTACAGTTGTATGGCCTGTTATGCTTATGCTTTATTTTGTTTGTTAAAAAAAATATAGTATGATGGATATTTTTTCCCCTTCTATACTACAGCTTATGAGAGTGTACGGTGCATTGATGTGGTCTCTTGGGAAAGTGCTAAATACTCCTGAGGTTGTGCGTGTGTATATCGGGTAATTTCTTATGCCTGTTATTTGTTACATTTTTCTGTAGCTCGTCTGATGCAGGCGATGTGTTCGGGGCAGTTTTTATATCTTTCTTACCACTCTTAGCTTCTTACTGCAATACTCTCAAATGCTGTATTTCTGTTGATATCAATGGGAATGGGGATATCCTTGTTTCAAAAAAATAACTTTTAAGAAATGGAGGTGTTACAAGACTTGTACAATAAGTTAAAAAATGCATGTTGTTGGAGGTTCAAAATTCAAACTAAAATATATATTTAATTTGCATGGGATTGTTCAATAAAGTATAAAACTAAATGAGTTTTTTTATTTTTGCATTAACTGGATTGTCATTTTGAACCTAATATTTACAGGTCATTTAATGATAAGCCAGTGAATGATTCAGCTGTTGGACCAATTGGAAAAGACTTGTTTGAGAGGGAGCAAGATGACCTCCTCTGTGACCTGAAAGACATTCCTAAGAAGGCTTGTGATCGACGGGTAAGTTGAAATGTTGAGTCATTTGTCAGAATTCCTCCTTTCTGTACTGGTTTTTCGAAATGAACAGCACCGTTTCTTGCAGGTCAATGAGTTTGTTAAGCGTGCTCGAGCTGCCAAGATCCATGCTTACATAATTGTCCATCTGAAGAAGGAGATGCCTGCAATGATGGGAAAAGCTAAGGCCCAACAACGACTCATAGACAACTTAGAGGAGGAGTTTGCAAAGGTACTTACAGAGAACTTGACTGCCCGAATGTTATGTCCGGGTTTAATTTCAACAGAAGATTTATGACTAACCTTAATTTGCTCCCATCCAAATCCAAACTTACTGTCATTTTTCTTCTCTCTTTTGCACAACATCCCTCTGCTTGACTGATGCTCGTGATCCGGTGGAACAGGTCCAGAGGGAATACCATCTCCCCGCCGGAGACTTCCCTGACGTGGAGCACTTCAAACAGGTGCTGGGTGGGTACAGCATCGACAAGTTCGAGAAGCTGAAGCCCAAGATGGTGCAGGCGGTGGACGACATGCTCGCTCACGACATCCCGGAGCTCCTCAAGAACTTCAGGAACCCGTACGAGTGAACTGACCTGACCTGACCTGCCCTCTCGTCGATTGTAAGATTACCTTAGCTGTCATGATGGCGGAGGGGACGTCCTGGGAGATGTAGACGGTCACGGGTCACTACTCACTAGCTGTCCGCAGCTGTGCCAAAAACCGAGAGGGTGCATGAGGATTCAGATCAGAGAGCCACAGCGCGTTGCCTGTTAGTTTCAGCGTCAGTGCTTTGTCGTGGTTGCCGCACGCCGGCACGCGAAGGAGCTGTGGTACCGTTACCGTTTCGCTGTGATACATTTTCCCTTCGTGATGAGATAAAAGAGTTGCAGGCGGCAAAGCGATACGGTGTGCAATGATAACTTGCGACCATGTGATGTTGCTGGTCCTGGGCGGCACACGATGCGTGACGCACCAGCGCCGCACCGCTGCCTGCCCTGCCCTGTGGCGTCCCAGCTTGCCGCGTTTTGCGTACGAGTGCGGGGCAAATCGTTTGGACCTGGATGGACGGTGTCTGGCTGACTCCACACACATGGTAATGGGCTCGCCCATGAAGTGGGACCGTGTGTCGTCCCTCTCCCTTGGTGGCCTCTGCCTAGGGATAAAAACGGATCGGATACGGACGGATATCACCGATATTACATTTGTTTTCATATTTCTGTCCGGATTCGAATTCAAATACGGATAGTGTCAACCATGCCGGATAGGATACGATTGGGTATCGACATCATAAATATGCGATTTGAGTATTCGGATACGGATACGGTATCGGATATTGAATATCCAGACTCGGATATGGACAGATCAGGACTCCTCTAAACAGATTCGGTCTCGAATACGGTCGGAAAATATCCGTACCGTTTTCACCCATACCTGTGCCTATAGATCCTCTAAATATTGTTTTTCAGAAATCCTACTAGATGAGCTGGGTCTTCCCTATGGATTCCACGCATTCCGAAACGGTCAAAGAGCATGGATGTTAGACAGGTAAACGGTGAGTATTTTTATCTTTAATTACCGCACTGGCTTGGCTTTGCACGTGGAAAAAGTGGAGCCATCCCAATTCAGCTCCCGTTGGCTTGCACTAAACTGATGGTGTCCACTGTCCACAGCCACAGCAGGCAGGCGGCACAGTTGCGCGAATATGCCGCCCCCGCGCTAGTGGCACCGCGGCTACCAGCACGACACGCATCGCAAAAATCCAACCACGCCACACCACTGGGTCTGGCGGGAAGAGGCGAGCACATCACCACGCGGCGGGGCGATGGCGATGCGAATCCGATGCGGTGGCGAAGATTGAGGAGGCGGCGCAGGCGCGGCAGGCAGAGGCAGCCGACCCACCCCCGGGACGTGGACGTGGTGACGCCTGACGCGGTCGTGGGAAATCAACCCAACGGACCGACGCGGCGCCCGGGTAGTGGCGGGCCCGGCGCGTCAGCCTCCGCGGGGCCGTGCCGACCAAACAGGCGCAGGAGCAGCCGCGGGCGGGCGGGCGGGCGCGGGAGGAAAGGAAAGGCCACTCGGGGGGCCGGGCCAAGCCAAACGCGGAGTCGCCGAGGAGGACAAGGCACAACAAGCCGCACGAGAAGGAAGGCAGGCAGGGCAGGGCAGAGAGGAAGGAAGAGGAGGAGGCGAGGAGGGATGCGGCGGGCGAGGCCGCCGCCGGTCCCGGTCCCGGTCCCGGTCCCGACGGCGCCGGGGGACGCGGGGGGGCCGGAGGTGAAGTACCGCGGGGTGAGGCGGCGGCCGTCGGGGCGGTACGCGGCCGAGATCCGGGACCCGGCCAGGAAGACCCCGATCTGGCTCGGCACCTTCGACTCGGCCGAGGCCGCGGCCCGCGCCTACGACGACGCCGCCAGGACCATCCGCGGCGCCGCCGCGCGGACCAACTTCCCCTCCGCCTCCGTCTCCGCCGCGGTGCCGCCGCCGCCGCTGCTCCCCGCAACCGTCACCGCCCCCGCCGCCGCGGCGGGGGCGGGGGCGGCGACGTCTAGCCACAGCAGCACCGTCGAGTCCTGGAGCGGCGGCGGCGCGCCCGCCGGGATCCTCCGCGCCGCAGCCGCCCCGGCCGCCGAGGAGGACTGCCGCAGCTACTGCGGGTCCTCATCGTCGGTTCTCTGCGAGGACGGCGCGTCGGGCCCGGGCTGCGGCGACGAGGCCGCCGCGCCGCCGCCGGCCCCGCTGCCGTTCGATCTGAACGTGCCGGACCCGGCGGCCGACGAGATGGACTGGCGCTGCGACACGCTACTGCACCTCTAGCCGCCGCCGCGAACCAACCACAAGCACTCCCCCGAACTGGTACTACAGGGTCGTCGTGCTGCTCGCTTCGTGTGGCTGATGATGATCCGGCGGAGCAATGCGTACCCGCCCAACAAGTGCTATCGTGCTATTCTATCTCTCTCCATAGAAATTGATAATTTTAATTGTTTTTTTTTTCCACTGCTTCTTTAGTCTCCTTTTTTTTACCACTGCCATGATTCGGTAATACTACTTTTGTGATGATGTGAATAACTCATCATGTAATCCGTGGAGGGGAACCTGTTCTTGCAAACCTTCCTGCTTCCTGCTGTGTTATCTGTAGCAGCATGATGTATGTGAGTATGTGACCACGGCCTCTTCTTGTCTTGCTGTAATTCTCTCAAGATAATGGAATTAAGAGAAATTTTACAGACACCTTTGCTTCTGTTTATCGGCAGCTCCTGGCTGTTGCTTTGATTGTGTAATTGTGTGTGCCCCTGTCCTTCATGAGCAGAGCTGCAGATGTTTTGAAGTGAAGCGCAGCCACAGACATAACAACTTCGTTATGCTTATGTATGCCCCTTATCCAGGAATCAGGATTGCCATCTTCAGTCCAAAACCATCTGAAAGCATCTGATCTGGTCTTGCTAGTCCGCATTGCAGCACTCTTCAGAGGTCAGAGCAGCCAGAAAACCATTCAGATCAGCGGCTGCATCCTGCACAATTACTGCCCTACAGACATTGATACAGAGTAATGAAGGTTACACGGTCGGTTGAGAAGAAGAAATGCATCTTAGTGCTCCAAAACCTGAGTCAGTCTAATTAGTAGTATAATAATGTAAGAGAAAATAGCCCTGTTCGGGCTGAAATTGGTCGAAAAAATAAGACAAAGTTAAAATGTTGCAAGAGAAAAACACTATTCCAGCTTAAAAAAAAAAACCGTAAGCCGGCTTAAGGCCAATCTGGAAAGGAAAGTTCTATCTCCGTCTAGCGTCTAGGGCTGGGCCTGGGGACAAACGTTGCCATCAGACGAGCCTGTGCCTGTGCGCTGTCGGAGACGGAGAGCAGCAGCATATGGCCGGCCTATGCCTATGCGCTGCTCGGCTGCCGCAGTGGTGTGGTGCCCGGGCCGGCTGCTCGAAAAGCAGTGGCAGCGCATTGGATGGATCAGCAAAAATCTCCTCCACTCCAACGGTTCGGATCGTTTGGAGTCGACGAGTCGTGCAGGTGTTACACGTTTCTGTTGGTCGTGACGGTGGCTCCTGGCTCGACGTGAGATGCTTGCTTGCTATGGGCCCTTGACTTCTCCACCAGCAGCTCGATCGATCTAAGGATCCAATCCGATCCGGACGTGGAGCCAGGAGGCCCCTTCCGACTACCGCGCCTGGTGTCTCGTGCTCGCGGTAGGCTGTCCTTTGCCTAGCCCAATTGGTTCCACATGGGCAGAGCCTGAGCGGGTGACCAGAGCGGGAGAGGGGCGACTGCTTCCGGCCCACGACCACGCGCCTGCCTCTGGGATCCCTCTAGGCCGGGCTGGTGGCTAACAGCCTGTTCGTGGCTGGTTCGTTTCGTTGCTGATTCGTGAAGAAGTACTGTTGGCTGATTTGTATGAGAGAAAAATATTGTTTCGGCTGAAAATTTATAATCGTTTATGACAAGCCACAGCCAAACCCCCAACACGGGTTGGGCCTCGTCACGCACCGCACGCTCACTCTACAGCTGGATAACTTGCCCCTCTCAAATCTCAATCTCAACTCTTAAAAGCTGTCTAAATTATTATCAACTCCTAGCTAATCTCTATACAACTAAAACATTCATAACTATTTCGTCCACAGGTGCGACACCAAAGCCGCTCCATGCAATCAGATCAGGAAGGCAACGCGCACTCGCTCCATGCGATCAGTTCAATCCCCATAAAACCGCAGCAAACCAGGAAGGCAAAAATCAATTACCGTAGCAATCGTGATCAATTCCCAGCAAATCGGGAAGGCAAAATCAATTCCCGTAACAATCGTGATCAATTCCACGATCACCCCACGCCGTCAATTTTCTGAGGATGTTTATGAAACTGGAATACCTGCTTGATGCGACTAAATCATTTTAGCTATATCACGGGTCGACAAAAATTGTGGATGTAAGGAATTTCTATGCATTTTTTTTGTTGCATGGCTTCTTTGGCACTTTGTCATGTTGCAAGGCCTAACTATTTCGTTCTTTGCCGTGGTTTTGTTAACATGCATTCAAGTCACTTTCACGAGATTTGACTACGAGATCCTGACTTTGTTGGTTGGCCGTTATAGATTACTTTGATGGGTTGAGTAGCTCTTTGTGCGGCACTTCTGCAACATGTTCCTTGTCAGTGGTGGCTTTCTTGCCAGCTGTGGCTGCAATTTTGCAGCTGAGATCATAAAATAGAAGTAAAACATGTTTGCCAATTGGATCAGGAAGAGTTTTCAGGATGTTACCACTCACCACAATCACTGGATGTTACCACTCCTGCCATTACATATTGGTAGGGCATCGCCATACCAACACGAAGTGGAAGATGAATAAAATAACGTGAAAGATAGATCAATATTGTCCTTGGTATGAAATGAATTTCTTGTAATACCATCTTCTCTAACTTTACTGGAATATAATATAGGAAAGCTGCATTAAGAGTGCTGCCCTTTTATTGGGTATTGGCTTATAGATTTTTTTTACTGGTTATGATATAGAAGAGATGAGTATATATTTCAATGGTTTAAGGTGGTTGATGGTCCCCTTATGGAGACTGTTGAAGAAAAGCTAAGAAATCTGGTGAAATGCTGCAATCACATAAAGAAATAACACTCACAGGCTAATATGCATGATTAAACTTAAAATTACTATGATATTATTTTGTTCCCGTTGCAACGCACGTGCATGATCCTAATTATTATAAGAGGCTGTTTCGACCCATCTCTAGTAGGTGGTTATATAGTTGTTTTGTATATATGAACAATATATTAGCGGCATATCTTTACTAACTAATGAACTAATTGTTAACACATTTGCTAATAGTTAGCATGTCTATTAGTAGGTCTATTTGATCCTCGTCAGCTAATTTTAGCTACTAACTATTAATACTATGAATCTAAGTATGTCCCTTTCTCTACAAGAAAAAAACCCATTTTTAACTTCTTGAACCATGGTCATAACCTGATTATCCTTACACTCTACGACAGGCTAACTTGCCCCCCTCAACTCTCGGGACTATGCCTTATTTACTTCCTCACCTTAAAGTTTAGTTTATATCACATCGAATGTTTGGACACATATATGTAGTATTAAATATAGACTAAAAAATAATTAATTATATAGATTATGACTAATTTGCGATACGAATTTTTTAAGCTTAATTAGCCCATGTTTTGACAATGTGCAGTAAAGCTACAGTCTTGGCAACCTGGTAGCCACCCGGTACAAACTTGTACATCAACCAAACAAGATGTCTGTGTATTGGACAAGCCAGGATAGGCCAAGCCCGTCACTCTCAAACTGTAGCCACCTGGTAGAAATTTCTCTCGACAGTAACAATTCCCATGGGGTAGTACCCAGTGAGTTCAGCTCTTTGCGTGATCTGCAGGTACTCAGTCTTGGCAAAAATTGGCTTACAGGAAGAATCCCTTCCACCATTACCAGCCTTGTAAACCTGAAAAAACTAGTCCTAAGATATAACAACATGACAGGAGAAATCCCGACAGAGATAGGCAGCCTTGCCAACCTCAACGTGCTGAACCTGGGTGCAAATCAGTTCTCAGGAACGTTCCCCGGATCTGGGAAACCTCTCAGCGTTGATGACTCTTTATGCTTTAAAAAATAGTTTTGAAGGAAGCATTCCACCACCACTACAAAACCTCTCGTCTCTTAATGTACTTGGATTGGGGGGAAACAAACTCCAAGGAACCATCCCTTCTTGGTTAGGCAACCTCTCTTCACTAGTATTCCTAGATCTTGAAGAAAATGGTCTAGTTGGTCAGATCCCAGAATCATTGGGAAATCTTGAGATGCTTGAACACCTTTCTGTCTCAAGAAACAATCTTTCAGGTTCCATACCTAGTGCGCTTGGCAACCTCTATGCCCTCACTATACTTGATCTAGTGAACAATGAACTAGAAGGCCCTTTGCCCCCTTTGATGTTCAATAATCTTTCCTCTCTCGAAGTTCTAGATGTAGAGTACAACAACTTGAATGGGACTTTTCCACCTAATATTGGAAGCAACCTTCCGAAATTGAACTATTTTCTTGTATCAATATCAAACAATCTATTTCATGGCATGCTCCCCTCATCCCTTTGCAACACCTCCATGCTTCAATATATTCTAACACTAGAATACTTCCTATCGGGAACGATTCCAGAATGCTTAGGAGCTCACCAAAGGAGCCTGTCTGGAGTGTCAATTGCTTCAAATCAGTTTGAAGCAACAAATGATGCTGATTGGAGCTTCGTGGCTAGTCTGACCAATTGTAGCAACCTGGTTGCATTAGATGTTAGCGAGAATAATCTCCATGGCGTGCTGCCAGCTTCAATTGGTAATCTCTCAACACAGCTGGAGTATCTCAGCATGGCATACAACAATATAACTGGAACAATAACAGAAGGAATCGGTAACCTCATCAACTTGCAAACATTTTACATGCCTCATAACATTCTCATAGGTGCTATTCCGGCTTCCCTCGGCAACCTCAATAAGTTGTCTGAATTATTTCTGTACAATAATGCCTTGTCTGGACCCATGCCAGTGACTCTTGGCAATCTTACACAACTTACTGAACTTCTCCTCAGTACAAATGCTATAAGTGGACCTATACCATCTAGTCTCAGACATTGTCCTTTAGAAGTATTGGATCTTTCTCACAACAATCTTTCTGGTCCGACACCTAAAGAACTCTTTTCCATATCAACCTTGTCGAGTTTCATTAACATTTCTCATAATTCCTTATCTGGGTCTTTGCCATCAGAAGTTGGAAAACTAGAGAATCTGAACGGACTTGATTTA